CAATGGAATTGTCGTCACAGAAGCCAGAAAAGAAAAAAAAAAAAAAATCAAAGACCAGAATCAGGAGGAGAGTCAACAAGACAGGCCAACAGTGTGGAAATGGAGTAGTGGGGCAAATGGCATTGGGCACTGGGAGGTCTGGCTCCACACTCATAAGATGGATAGGCTGTGAGTACCAAGAGCCTTTCCTGCTAAGTCTCTGAAACTGACAAGGAGGCACAGAGGGACCCACACAGAGAAAGCAGTGACATCTGCTAGCTGCCTGTGACACAGACAAGGAAATTCCCTGCACACACATATAGCCGAGGAAGGAAGGGAATGAAGCTGGGAGAGATGCAGGGAGGCTGGCCTACAGAGACAAAGACCCACAGGTAGAGTGACATGTGGGCAGAGCTTTCCCTAGGGCAAGAACCCTCTCCCACACATGGATGCTGGACAGATAAGAACAGAAAAGGGAGTTTCACTTAAAAATACCATGGTCACCTTGCAAGAGCAGCTCCACCAACCCAGGAGCCATGTCAGGTCTCAGGTTCTGACTTTCCAGCACCAGTGTCAACCCCAGAAAAACCGGAGCAGCACATCTGTGAGAGCCTCAAGAACGGCTCAATCACCTCCACCTGGCAGTACAGCCTAGTGGAACTTGGCCTTGTAGCCAGCCAGAGCTCAGTACCAGTATCAGCTTTTCTGCTTAACAACTGCATGAAACCATGCAAAAGCAACTTAACCCTTAAGACTAAGTTTTCTCTCCTTTAAACATAAGTCACCATGTCTACCCCACCCAGGAGTTGTAAGGAGTTGGCAGAATGACACTTCGAAAGCACTTTTCCCTGCCCTTCCCCAATTCTAACACCATCTCTACGTGAGCCAAACTTAAGACTAAGTTTTCTCTCCTTTAAACATAAGTCACCATGTCTACCCCACCCAGGAGTTGTGAGGAGTTGGCAGAATGACACTTCGAAAGCACTTTTCCCTGCCCTTCCCCAATTCTAACACCATCTCTACGTGAGCCAAACACCTGCCTCTCTACTTCCTCTCTAAATATATTTCACAATAACAGATATCGCTTATTGGGCACTTAGTGTATGCCAAGCCACATGCCACACACTTTACATATGTTACCCCATTTAATTTCAGCTCTACCTCTGACCAGCTGAGACCTGGGAAAGTTTTTAAACTTTCTGAGCCCTCATCTTCCCTGGTCATGGGTTGGAAATCATTTTGGCCTCACAAGGCTGTAACAAGGGTCCACTTAGAAAAACGGTGCAAAGAGTTTAGCAAAGTACCTCGTACATAGTAAGCGCTCAAAGTTTAACTACAACTATCATTACTATCATCCTTATTAATCCTCTCAAAAACCCAGTGACAAAAGAACAATGATGGTCACCTTACAAGTGAAAAAAAAACAAGATACAAAAATATTAAAGTAACACAACTACTAAACAACAAAGCAGGCATCTGAACCCAGGTATGCTTATTAAGGCAGTAGATAGATCACCTAAAACAGAATGAGACACATCGTGGGCACTCAATAAATGTTACTTCTTCCCCTAGAACTGTTTCCTAATCCAGCCACTCCCCTATCCAATTCTAGCCTGGGTTCAAAGGAGAATTCCTCAGCCCTCACTCCATCCCATGTACTCCACGTATCAGCATGAGCAGTTTAAGCCTCAAGCGCCAAGAGACTCAAGTCCCCAACTTCCCCTACTCGTATTTCTTCACTCTCAAGCCGAAATACAGGGACAAGAAGAATTTTTTTAAACGTCGAACGACTCCCAATTCTAACATTCTTGTTCCTAAACTGATCAACACCAGCATGACCCGGGTATTGTTCTGACCCGCCACAATCCACGACACCACCTGAGGGTATCTGCCTCCCACCTTTCCCATTAGTGCCAGTTCCCTTATCTCTATATTTAGAAAATGTATGAGGCTGAGTCTAGGTGCTCTGACCTGGTATCGCAAAGGATTTAGTTTGAGATTGGGAGTGATAGGACAAACACTTCATAACGCGACTCTTGGGAGCGCGAAAAGTCCCCGTGTAAGTAGGATATATGCATGCAGGAGAACACTCAAAAACTGCACATGGCTTTTCTCTTTTAGAAGGGAACAGGAGTCGAACGCCTTTACGTGAGGAACCCCACGACCAGTGGCCGGGACAAAACGCCCTGGGGAGGGCTCATAGAAAATCAGCCAAAGGGTGCGAGAGGTACTCCGCGCGCCCCACGAGATTGCTCTGCCCTCGTCCACGTGAAGGTGGGGAACGTGAGGGCCCCAACCTCAGAACCGCCATTTTGGAAACAAAGGGGGCGTGGAGATGGGAGCCAAAAGCCCGACCGGAAGCGGAAGTGCCAAGGCAGCGAGAAAAAAAGAAGGTATTGCGGGACCTAAAATAATCTCCAAGAGAAAATTAAGAGAATAAAGAATTCGCGACGGCACTTCTGGCGGGCTCGCGCCCATTCCCTAACCGCCTCCGCCGAGACCACGTGGGGCGGGGAAAAGGCCGCCGCGCGCATGCGTCACGGGTCCGCGCCTGGCCACCCCCTTACCCTCGCCGCGCGCGCGGCAGAACGCCGGAACGGTCACGTGAGCGAGGCGCGCGCCGCAGGACGGAGAAGGGGGCACCGCGCCGCACGGGGGGGTGGAAAGCGAGGGGAAAAGTAGCCGGGATAAGGAGCGAAGCGAGGAGCCGCCCCCACCGCCGCTCCGTGACCCCGGCGCCCTCACCTTGTTTATTCTCGTTGAGCTGCCGCTCGAACTCGTCGAAGTCCGACATGCTGAGGCGGCCGCGTAGGGCCCTGTGCAGCTCTCGCCTTGCCTTGCCGCCCGCCCGCTCCGACCGCTTCGGCTACTTCCGCCGCTGGCTTCGGCTACTTCCGGCCGCCGCCGGCGCTCAGGCACCTCCTACCTAATTAAGCCCTGGGCAGCCCGCCCCGACCCGACCCGCCCAGGCTCCGCCCACCCGCCCGTGAGCTACCCCCTCCTCCACCCCCCGAGCCTGACTCCGAAGCGCGTCGGCTATTTCCGGACGGTGGACGAAGTGATGGGCCGGCGGTGGCTACGCCTGCTTCCGAAAAAACCCGAAGCGAGGATTTCGCCGGTTTCCCAGGTTTCCGTAACTTTTCGGAGATTAGCGCACCAACGTTCGGCGGTTTCCGTGGGCCCTCGAGTTTCTCTGCGCCCAGCCCCCTCTCAGGGTTTGACTTCTTCCGACAATCCAAACCGTCTGTCTTTGGCTCTTTCCGCTGACTCGCCCCGCTCTTCTCAGCCGGCCCTGTCCAAACAATCGGACACTTCGACAATCTTAACTGTCCCGGTCTTTGGCCCTTTTCGAAGGTTTCCGGCACCTGCCCTCTGGCCCCTCCAGAGATTAAGCTCGATTCCAAATTTCGCTCTTCCCGGAGATTCCACTCGTTCACTCCTCCCCTCTTGGAGAACTTCGGCTCCTTCCGCCACCGCTTCGGGAAAGCCTCACTCACAAGGGACAGCTTCGGCTTTTTCCGTGGGCGTTTCGACTTCTCTCGGCTTCGGAAACCGAAAAGGGAGGGAGGACGGAGGCAAGGTGGGTCAGGGGAAGGAATACGGAAAAGGGGGCGGAGTCCGAGCTCTGGGCACTCGGCTCTCCGGTGGGGTGAGTGGAAGAAAAGAAGGGCCGACCTAGCGGAGGGCCTGAGAGCTTTGCGCGAGACAAAAATCAGCCAGCAGGGTGAAGGGTGCGCGCGGCCGCTGCGGAGGTTGTCAACGCGGCTTTGTGCGCCTGCGCCGGGTAGAAGAGGAGGGGGCCGATACGAGCTTCTGCGCCTGTGGCATCTTCCTCATAATGCAAGTTCCTTAAAAAACTTTGTCTGTCTTTGGCTCTTTCCGCTGACTCGCCCCGCTCTTCTCAGCCGGCCCTGTCCAAACAATCGGACACTTCGACAATCTTAACTGTCCCGGTCTTTGGCCCTTTTCGAAGGTTTCCGGCACCTGCCCTCTGGCCCCTCCAGAGATTAAGCTCGATTCCAAATTTCGCTCTTCCCGGAGATTCCACTCGTTCACTCCTCCCCTCTTGGAGAACTTCGGCTCCTTCCGCCACCGCTTCGGGAAAGCCTCACTCACAAGGGACAGCTTCGGCTTTTTCCGTGGGCGTTTCGACTTCTCTCGGCTTCGGAAACCGAAAAGGGAGGGAGGACGGAGGCAAGGTGGGTCAGGGGAAGGAATACGGAAAAGGGGGCGGAGTCCGAGCTCTGGGCACTCGGCTCTCCGGTGGGGTGAGTGGAAGAAAAGAAGGGCCGACCTAGCGGAGGGCCTGAGAGCTTTGCGCGAGACAAAAATCAGCCAGCAGGGTGAAGGGTGCGCGCGGCCGCTGCGGAGGTTGTCAACGCGACTTTGTGCGCCTGCGCCGGGTAGAAGAGGAGGGGGCCGATACGAGCTTCTGCGCCTGCGTAGAAGTCGGTCGGAAGCGAGGTTTCTCTCTGCTCTGGGAGTGGGAACGGGTTGAAGAGTCCCCAGTGCGCGTGTGCAAAATTTTCCCTTCCTATAGTGAAAGTGCTGAATTATTGACCGTTGGTTAAGGCCTTCCTGCTGGTTGCCTTGGCAACCGCGTAAGCGGTCTCGCGCCCCTCCTGTCGCAGAAGTGCAGGAGGCGGTGGAAATACCACTTCCGGGAGATGGTAATCTCCTATTACCGCCCCCTGGTGGGTCGGCAGAAGCACTCGTCCAGACATCTTCTGGTCCCCCGGTGGCCTCCACTGCAGGTCGTGAGTTTCGCCTCCTGTCGCCACGCCTCTCTCTAGGCCGATAGGCCCGAGGGTAGTGTCCACGCCTGTTTTCCGGAGCTCTGCTCTCTCCGAGATTCTCCGGGCACGGCTGCTTCTCCCTCTCCCACCGCTGTCTCCAGGGGTCTAATTACACCCTATCCTCCCCAAACTCCCTGCTTCCCCCCTGACTGTTCCCTGGAAACCGTGACGACGGCCGCCCCCTCCCAGGCAAAGTTCCCCTCCTAGGAAGAGGCCGGGGCCCAATTTATTCCAAATTTTCACCTTTTTTAATTTAAATTATTTGAATAATTTTCTGTCTCACGTGGAATGGGGGAGTTCCCAGAATGTGGGTGGACAGCTCCTGGCCGGGGAAGTAGGGCGGGCCAGCGTCTCCTCGGAGTTGGGGGTGGAGATGGGGTATATACAGTACTCCCCTCCCAGGCCCCAGAGAGAGAGGGCCTCGTGGTTTTCCCAGGAGGAAGAGGCCAGGTGAGGGTAGGGCGGCTGCAGCCTAAGTGGAAGCAGAGACGCAGGTGTTTCGGAAAGGGAAGCAACCGGCCTCTGGGCAGTAGTTCTTGGTAGCCCGGATAAGTTAGACACCCCCATCCCACCCCCCACAACCCAAGGAATGAGGAAGAGAAGGATGCTAGATAAGACTGTGAGGGGTAAAAGGGGACAGATCTATACACAAGGGAACTCAGGGTGGGAACGGGGATCTGCAGGAGGAGGGGGACACACACAGAGACACTGCCCACCCTGTGGGGAAGCCTGGGAGGAGCACCCCACTCATGCACACAGGCCCCGGAGCTGGGCAGGGTGGAGGAGGGAGGAAGGGGCGGGATCATCGCTTGAAACGGTAGGTGATGGGGAGCAGCAGCTTGCTCTTCTTGAGGGCCTGCACCTTCTTGAGCGTCTCCTCGTCCAGAGCCAGGAAGCAACGGCGAGAGTACTCGAGCAGGCGCTCCTTGGAGGGGTCGAACTCTCCCACCTCGGCGAGCTTCTCAGGGGCTACGATGAGCAGTTCCGCAATGGGCGTGGTCAGAGCCACTGTGTTCCGGTCCACGCGGTGGTGTTCAAAGGCCCGAGACATGCTCTTCAGCTTCTGGAAGGTGCCCAGGATCTTCTTGTAGCGGCAGAGGACCCCGTCTGCATCCTTTACTGTGGGGCCAAGGCGGGGACGGGGGACAAAGACACATGGTGGTGGGGAGAGAGACATGGGGGACACAGAGAGACAGACATGGGGGAAACAAAAGGTGAGACAGAAAGACAGACATAGGAGAAAGAGACAGACACACGTAGGGGTGAGTGCCAGAGATATGGAGGAGGCCAAATAGGAACAGGAGGGCAAAAATGGTGGATGAGAGACAGATACGGTGGGGGCACATACAGAGGAAAGAAAATGGAGACAGGAAAGAAAAAATGAAGGAGGACAAAGACAGATGAGGAGCCCAATGCAAGATGAGATAAGAGAAAAAAATGGAGAATAGGGAGAAGGTGAAAGAGATGGGAGAAAATGGAACAGAAGTTGGAACAGGGAGAAATTGAGGAAGGCAGACCCAGAAACAGAATGAGGAGAGAAACTAAGCTGGGACATTGTGTTAAAGGGTAGAGATCCCAGGCCCCCACCTGAGCCATAATCCCCCCCACCCCACCCCACCCCCGCCTTCTACTTTATGTGAAATCACTTATTCAAGCCTCTCTCCACCCTATGAAGTTGGTCCTGACATCCTCCTCCTTTTTACTGGTGAGGAAACTGAGCCTCAGGAGTTAAGGAGGTAGGTGCCCAAGGTGACTCTGCCAGTGAGGGCGAACCAAAATTTAAAGAAAGTAAACCCAGGACCACATGTCAAAGCTGGTTTTCTTACAGATGAGACTGAAGCTTGGAAAGGAGAAGGGCAGGCGTCTGTGGAGGTCACACAGCAAATCCATGGCCCAGACCCCTCCACACTTCAACCTCATGCACCCCACTCACCCCGCTGCCTCTCCCGGGTCTTGGGCTTCCCAAAACGCCTCCGACTGGCACCTCCCTTCTGCTTCTGCCTCTTTCTCTCGTTGGCGCTGCCTTCTTCAGACACTCCACTAAGTGAGGAAGCTGCCGACTCAGGGTCTGAAGCCTCGCCCCCAACCCCACCCCGGCTGTCCCCCTCAATCCGCCGGGGCCCAGGCTTCATCCGGCAGTGGTCCTCTGGGGAGAGAGAAACATACACATGAACTGTGGGACCAGATATCAATCCAAGACCCCAAGGGAAAAAGAGGGCCTGGGTTCATAGAGGCCAGGTCCCCAGGATGAGAGGCTGAAGTCCCCAAAACTGTAGCCACCAACCAGGGATGGGCCCCCAATAAGACAGATGAACTAGGAGTGCAGTCTAGATGCTGGCAGTGGCTGAACAAGAGTAGAACCTGCTGGGATCTAGAGGAGCTGATCATAGGCGGGAACATTTTCCTAGGGTCCTGGGTTGAGGAAGCTCAGCAGCCTCCTAAAGTTGATGGCAAGAGGTCTGGGGGAGGGGACCGAGTTGACCAGGACAGGATCAGCGACCTCAGGAGGTTGTGTGACTATATGGGCTTCCCATAGGGGAGGAGGATTTTTCTGGAGACTGAGTGGGACCTCCAGAGAGTGAAGTATGGAAACCCAGGAGGCAAACAAGGCTGGGGCAGTGTCAGACCCCTAGAGAAATCAGGGGCTCTGGGTGTGGTGGGACAGAGGGAGCCAGCTGAGACTCAGCCACAGGGTCCTACCAAGGCAGATTTGGGGAGAGGTCTGGTGCTGGGGCCCCCACTGAGAAATCCGGAGGCCCCTGAGCTCAACCATTAGGGGAAGGAGTTGAGTTGCCTGGATGGAACCATCAGTGTGGAGAAACAGTGGTAGGTTACGGCAACCCAGGCCAGAGGTGGTTCCAGAGTAGAGGTACAGCCAGATCCGTAGATGCTGGGGTCCCCAATATTGTAGATGACAAAGCCACAGGCCCTTTGCCCAGGCTTCTGGTGGGAAGGGTTGAATTCACAGAGAGGGATGTGGGAGCCTTTGAGAGGTCTTACCAGACAGGGAGCTTGCAAGGGAACCAGCTGGGAGCTGCACGTGGGGCAGAGGGGTAGAGGCTGGGTTCTCCAAGACGTGGGCTGAAGAATTGGCAAAAGGAAGCCCTGACTGCCTGTGGAAGGGGATGGGTTAGTGTTCAAAATCTATTAGCAAACCAGGCACAGGGTCCTTCCAATCAGAGGAAATGCTTATTGTGAACTAACTAGACCTTAGGGCAGCTTGAATATCAGCCGTGGAAGCTCAGTGGGCTACTACTGGTAATGAATTAAAGCAGAGCAAGGTAAGGGGGTGGGGGTTGCCCGGAACACTGAGGCAGGATTTGGGATACTACACATGCTGAGATCCTCATCCAAAGATGTACCACTAGGGAAGGGGATAAATCCACCAGCAAGAATTTAACATCTTTGATGGGGAAGAAGTATTAGTTAACCAAGGTATGGGTCAGAGTAGGTGGGAAGATAAGTCCCCTGAGGAGTCAAACTGGGTGGCTGGAGGAGACTAGATGTTTGGATTCTTGGATCCTTGAGAAGACAAGTCTGGGATGAGGGGCAGGGGCCCCCTGAGGAAACCCAAAGGACCAGGGTGGGCCTCCAGGCCAAGGAGATGAAGGGAGGTTCTCACTAGGAGACAAGAAGAGATAAACCTGGACTCCAGATCTCAGAGTCCCTGAAGATACTGTGGGCTGAGGAAACGGAAGTCATTGCGCTTGAAGCTGACAGGATTTGGGAGAGCCAACGGGAAAGGCAGGAGGAGTCCCAGCAGACTGTACATGAAGATGGGAGACCTTGGACATCAAGCAAAAAGGAAGCTAGACTTAAGAGCTCTGAAACAGGCATGGGAATAACAGAGAGGATCAAGATGCCAGGTCTCCATCAAACCAAAGGGTGGGGCTTCAAGACTCAGGGTGAGCTGGATGCCAAAGTACCCAGAAATGTAACAGGGAGGGCACCCTATCAGCTACCCTCCACCCCCCACACCTGCATCCATCCGGGCAGAGGAGATGAACTTGTCCAGCTGACACCTCAAGAAGTCCCTCTCTTCCTCCAGGTCCTCAATGCGCTTCTGCAACCATGAGTTCCTCTCCAGGGCCATGTGTAGCTGGGCCTTGACACTGTTCATCAGGGCCAGGGTGGGGGACGCAGCCTCCGGAAGCTCTAGGAACATCAGGGACCCAGGTCACACCCCAGGACTTGGGGGCCTGGCACCCCAGCTAACTCCAGTCCCTCCGTGCCCACCTCAGCTCACCCTCGAAGTTTCCCTGAGAGGGGCTCAGACTGTAAAAGATCTGTGAGTCTAGGTGGGGCGCCTCATCGAAGGGGATGGAGATCTCGAAGGCCTCATCGTCCTTCTTCACTGGAGAGGAGAGGCCCCGGGTCACCCCAGGGAAGTCCCCGGGCTCCTGGGACCACCCCACAAACAGTAACCCCAGGGAAGGGGTGGCAGGGATAGGCAAACCAAGAATGGGAAAGGGGACCCAGCTTCCTCACTTGTCCGCCTCCGGCTGTTTCGGTCATTCATGGTGCTCTGCTTCCTGTAGACCCCAGCAGCTGAGCGCCTCAAGGGCACTGGACAGAATGGAGGACCACATATGGAGGGACATGGATGGACTCTTCAGGTCCACTCTGAGGATAGTGGGGGCCCAACTCCTCAGAAGTGAGAGAGGAGGGACCTGCAGGCCTAGACTCTTGGATCTGATGGAGAAGGGGGCTGGGGGCTTGGACTCCTGGGTCTGAGGGAGGAGGGGACCCACATTCCAGGGCTGAGAAGACGCGCTGAGGTTTCAAACTCCTGGAGGGTAGGGAATGAGGACGCTAGGGGCCCAGACATCTAGGTCCTGGGGGAGAAGTGGGCTGGAGACCTGGATTTCTGGATATTGAGGAAAGAGAGAACTGGGCCCCTGGCCTGAAACTGCTGGACTCCTCCTGGGGTTAGACAGAGCAGGGACACCCTGGCCTGAATGGGAAGGAACCTCTTCTCAGGCCACCTCCGGGCCCAAAGAAGCAGTAGGTGCGTGTTGACCAGGACAGGATCAGCGACCA